CTCCCATCTCAAATGACTCAAGCAAACACCAAAATGTGCTTTAAAAAAAACAAAACGCCCCTATCTGCCCTAGTTAAGGCATATGTATACACTGAGCGTACAAAACATTAAGAACACCTTCCTAATATTGAGTTGCACCCCCCCTTTTGCCCTCAGAACAGCCTCAATTCGTCGGGGCATGGACTCTACAAAGTGTTGAAAGCGTTCCACAGGGATGCTGGCCCATGTTGACTCCAATGCTTTTCACAGTTGTGTCAAGTTGGCTGGATGTCCTTTGGGTAGTGGACCATTCTTGATACACACGGGAAACTGTTGAGTGTGAAAAACCCAGCAGTGTTGCAGATCTTAACACAAACCGGTGCGCCTGGCACCTACTACCATACGCCATTTAAAAGACACTTCAGTCTTTTGTCTTGCCCATTCACCCTCTGAATGGCACACGTACACAATCCTTGTCTCAATTGTCTCAAGGCGTAAAAATCCTTCTTTAACCTGTCTCCTCCCCTTCATCTACACTGATTGAAGTGGATTTAACAAGTGACATCAATAAGGGATCATGGCTTTCACCTGGATTCACCTGGTCAGTCTATGTCATGGTGTTCCTAATGTTTTGTATACTCAATATAGACTACAATATTACCTGGTCAGTCTGTCACGGAAAGAGCAGGTGTTCATAATGTTTTGAACACTCAGTGTATGTAGTAATGCATGGATGTGTGCCTGTAATGTCTGTGTTAATGTTTTTAAGTTAATGTCAATTGTGTTTTTGTCTGTCTTTCGTTATGTGTTGGACCCCAGGAAGACTAGCTGTCGCCATTTGGCGTTGGATAATGGGGATCCCAATAAAATCTATAAATCTATGATCGTGATCTAAAAGGTGCTTGACTTCTATCTCCAGCCACCACCTCCACCACAGCTTCCTCGACCCTCCTGGAATGTCACTTTTTGTAATTAAGAGCAGGTGAACTTTCGCTTGTTCTCCCTAAGAGGGTTTTTACCGTTGACCATCAACACTGACCTTTGCTACCACTGCAGGTTATGTTGCCGGTAGCGACAGTAGCCTATGATCGACAAAATGTTATTGAAGCTAGCGTTTTAACTATATGCACCTGTAATGAGATAGCCCTATTGATCCTACCATTGGTATAAAGTATAGCGATGCATCCCAAATTGAACCCTATTCCCCTATATAGTGCACCAGCGCCCTGGTCAAAAGAAGTGCACTGTATAGGAAATAGGGTGACATTTGGGATGCAGACTGAGTTCAGTTCAGGATGTTTAATCAGTTCTAGTTACTTTTATTATAGTTTATTTAAACAAAATGTGATGATATTAACAGATTTAGAGGAGAACAAAAAAGTTCATCACTCTCAGTTTAACGTAGCGCGCGGCTCATAAACTGAACACTCATTGGGCCTACACAGACCGACCGATACCAGGAAGTTACTTCCTCCCTATAGTTGGCTGGATCTAGCCTAGATAGCCTGTAGGCTAGTAAGCTACGTTTCCAGAGTGTCTTCCCCAACACCACTTATAACTGAATTCTTTAGTCTAGTCAAGCTTCTACGACCCAACAATGTCGACCATAGAGGGCTGCCGTAGTAGTAGCCACCTGGTAAATGCATGCTATACCCATCACAGCCACTAGAGGGTGCTATGGGGCTACTTGCTGTGTTGACCTTGCAGTCTGAGGTGCGGAGACGGGTTAAACTACTGTCACCAGTTTATGGATGGACTGAATGAATGCTTGGTTTAGCTCTGGGGGTAAAGTGTACCTTAGGTACAGATCTAGGACCAGTTTTCCCCTCCCTCAACCCATTAGTGGGGGAAATGCTAAACTGACCCAGAATCAGTGTCTAGGGTCAACTTCACCCAACACCCTGGGTTACATTTTTACATTTACATTTGAGTCATTTAGCAGACGCTCTTATCCAGAGCGACTTACAGTTAGTGAGTTCATACATTATTATTATTATTATCATATTTATTTATTTTCATACTGGCCCCCCCATGGGAATCGAACCCACAACCCTGGCGTTGCAAACGCCATGCTATACCAACTAAGCGCCATCCTTGCCGGCCATTCTCTCCCCTACCCTGGACGACGCTGGGCCAATTGTGCGCCGCCCCATGAGTCTTACCATACAGTAGAGCCAGGCATCACTCATCTCCCTTTAACAAGTAACATTAGCATGTTAATGGCCATTATTAAAACCATTTTTAATTTTGTTTATGATTATTGTTTACGAAACCCATGACTAACCAACGGATAGTGTTGCATTTGCTTTGTCTAGGGGTCTTAACCCTAGTTACATGGTCTCTAACCTGAATGAATGTGTGCATAAATGTGAGAAATCAGCGTTTGAGGACCGTGTTGGATGCACATGTGCCCAGGGAGACAGCAACCTTACCTTAGGTCCAGGGAGACAGCAACCTTACCTTAGTTCCAGGGAGACAGCAACCTTACCTTAGGTCCAGGGAGACAGCAACCTTACCTTAGTTCCAGGGAGACAGCAACCTTACCTTAGGTCCAGGGCCAGCGCTTTCTTGACTCCTTTGGGTCGGCCAGTCCAAGCAGATTGTTATTTGTTCAGATGGTCATAAACATAAATATGTACAAAAAGGAAACATACCAAAGGCCCAAACTAAAGATTCAAAATCAAACAAAGGGCCTCATGGCCACCAAACGGCTCTGCCAGCTGGGACACTGACTGACCATCGCCTACCCAGTCCCCTGTAGCTCAGTTGGTAGAGCATGGCGCTTGCAACGCCAGGGTTGTGGGTTCGTTTCCCACGGGGGGGGGGGGGGGGGGGGGCAGGGGCAGTATTGAAATGTATGCACTAACTGTAAGTCGCTTTGGATAAGAGCGTCTGCTAAAATGACTAAAATGTAAATGTTGGCAGTACCTGATGTGCTTATCGACCAGGCGCAGCATATGAAAAAGGTTGCTGCTGCCCCCTGGGGGATAGAATGTGGAAGTGGTAGTGAGCTGTAGAGCCCTATCTAACCTATTCCATAACACTGTGTGAGGACAGAGACAGACAGTGGTCTGGTCTCAACGGCTTCAGTGACATATAGACCAAGAGGAGTGACGATAAGGAAACCCAGGAGGTTTTTCTTGACAACTTGAATTTAGCTGCTGATCCATTGGCGCAGTAGTGCTTCCATAGTTTAAACATCTGAACAGGCTGTGAGCGGATACAATGAATAACAGACGTTCACATTTTCAATGAATAGATGCCTTATTTGTAGAAATTGTCAGTACATTAATCAATGTAATGGATCAAATCAAATGTTATTTATATTTAGTTATTTTTTGCAACAACATTTGTCACAGTGCTTCAACATAACCCCCCAGAGTACTACTAAATACAAAAATCAAATACATTTTATTTAGCAGACGTTCCGACTTACAGGAGCAATTAGGGTTAAGTGCCTTGCTCAAGGGCACATCGACTGATTTTTTCACCTAGTCGGCTCGGGGGATTAGAACCAGCGACTTTTCGGTTACTGGCACAACGCTCTTAACCACTAAGCTACCAGAGTAACAGTACCGTGGCAAGGGGAAAAAACTCCATAAGGAAGAAACATCGAGAGGAACCAGATGCAGCTGTAGTAATATTGGTGGATGTAGCCAGAGGTTTTTAATATTGTTCCATTCCATTCCGTCCTGTCTGTCTGTCTGATATTTGATTTTATCCTTATCTATTGCTACAGTTAAAATGACATCTCATGATAAGTGTTCTTTATTTTGAGATAGAATGTAACATCTATTGAAATAGAAACCTGCTAAAACAAACATACACTCTATCATGCCGCCCTACGCAGCAAGCATGTAAACAGGCCGTTACAGTAAAGATGGGTGAATATGCGCAAGGGCTCTACTCCCGCCGTCTCCTACAGGGGCTGAACTGGCAGTTGCGCGCCAGTGTGGAGAATTACCGCGGCGCAGAGAACCCGCTTTCCCACCGGAGCGGAGGGGCTCTGGTCTTCTTCTTCGGTGGAGTTTATCGGTTGTTGGCATCCAACGTTATGGTGCATTACGAGGGGCTCTGTTGCACACGAGAGAAAACAGAATCCCATGGAGAATTTATCAGATGACAGGACTATACTGAATGCAAATGAAAGAAGTGATAGGAGTTGTTAGCAGGGGAGCAAAACTTTTTTTGGAAAGGGCTAGAAATGATCACGCTGCTCCTAGGTTTTGTTCTTTTAGACCGTTTTTTTGTGTGTGTAGGTGACTGATAACCTGTGTGTGTATGCCTGTGTTATAGTGGGATATTATTTAGTTTGTAGGCTACGATTGAGAACCTAAACCCGAGGTCAGACGCACCTCAACGGACTAGCCGACTCTCGTTATTTCTCTCGGTCGACAGAACGACCAACCCTCCTACCAAACCTGTCTGGTGCAGGCGGATAGTCTCTCCCCTCGTCGTTTTTAGGACTGATAGCTGGACACTGGAAAGTCTGGGAGGGGGGGCTCATGTGATTCTAATGGCCCTCCTAACCTGCTCACAGAAATGATCAAATGATATGGAAGCTGATTGTAGGTGTGTGAGCGATCAGCAGCGTTGTTACATTGTGGCGATGGAAGGTTTTTCTGTGGCTCGGTTCAAAGCTACTTCCTGGTACAACAGAAAGAGGCAGTGCTGAGTTAGAGACCGAATAGACATTTAGATTAGAAAAATACTGAGAGAAGAGGAAAGGAACGATATAGAAACTCTTGGCCAGAAATCCAAAACCTTCGTTTTCTTGTGTATTTCTCCATTTGTTATTTTAACGATTCGAGTTTTTTTGTGGGGGGTGGGGGGTGGGGGGGGAATCAAAAATTGGTTTGGATGCCGAAGGAAGGTCAGGTTGGTTGCGGCTAAAAAGGAATCGTAGCGGGGAGAACATAGCCCTCCCAACGGCGGAGAAGCGTCGCACCATTTAGGTTTTTCATTATAACGTCTTTGGGTATTATTTCGCATTTTCGATAGACGAGGTAGGTCAACGGAAGATGGGTTGTTTGGGCAACAGCAAGACTGAAGATCAACGCATCGACGAAAAGGCACAACGAGAGGCAAATAAAAAAATTGAAAAACAGTTGCAAAAAGAAAGACAATCATATAACGCGACGCACAGGCTCTTATTATTGGGTAAGGTTTTATTAAACGGATATGTGATCTAAATGTCATTCGTTTACCCCAACACGTATTTTGACAGCTTTCGCAATATGTCATGGCGGTGGATATTGATGGAAGCGAAGCCTAGCAATTAGCTTCATTTCGACATCATTCTTATTCATTTTGAACGGTAACAATATGACCCTTATCGTTCCGTTATCAGCAACATTGTAACACTATGTCCTGTTTGCCTCATTCTGAAGGTGCTGGAGAGTCCGGGAAAAGCACTGTTGTGAAGCAGATGAGGATTCTTCACGTAAATGGTTTTAACGCAGAGTGAGTACACGCATCCACTGTTATTGAAGGCCCTACCGAATCTCCATTTGATACACAGGCCCAGATATATATACCTATTTCGGAACATATTTTGTTATAATCAGGGTCTCCCTGGCTGTGAGTGAGACTGCCGAGAATAGGCTTTAGAGAACTGAATGGATTTTCCTCAGGCACTGCAGCGCCTAGGCCCTGTCTGTTAGTGACCAACACACCAGGTACTGCCAGGCGGCTAGCGCTAGCAGAAGCAGTATCACCTGGTTTCCCCAGAAGCAGCTTAAGGCTAATGGATCTAACGATGAACTCAGCCTTAAGATGCTTCTGGGGAAACCAGAACTTTAGGTTCTTGGACAGGACCTAGAGCCGGAGTGGGTCTACGCTGCCTTCGTAGTGGGATCTTTAGGTTCTTGGACGAGGACTATTGTGATGTTGTTGTTATCTTGTTGGTCACGGTCTCCTCACGGCTGTGTTCTGTCCTCCTTCACCAGAGAAAAGAAACAGAAAATCCAAGATATTCGGAAAAACGTAAAGGATGCCATAGTGGTGAGTAGGCTAGCATTAATCTGTGTCCTGTTTTAAATAGATTGGTGGTTTACCGGGTTATTCTGTCCGTCCCAAATGGCACCCTATTCCCTATATAGTGCACTACTTTTGACCAGGGCCCAGGGCACTAGGCCTATACAGGGAATAGGGTGGCATTTGGCATGCATCCTCAGTGTTCGATGGAACACCCCAATCCTATTTCCCTTAATAGATAGGCTTATGATCTCATTTAGCCTGTATTTAGCCTGTATTTAGCCTGTATTTAGCCTGTATTTAGCCTGTATTTATCCAGCTTAACGCCGCTGGGTGTGTTTCTCCCCTCCTCTTTCTAGACCATAGTGTCAGCGATGAGCACCTTGATACCCCCGGTCACTCTAGCCAACCCTGAAGACCAGTTCAGAATCGAGTACATCAAAAGCATAGCTCCTCTCTCGGACGTTGACTACACACAGGTAAGATGGCTGTTTTAGGTTTTCATTCAGGTGTGTGTGTGTGTGTGTGTGTGAGCTTGATGTGTGTGTGTGTGTGTGTGTGTGAGCTTTGTGTGTGTGTGTGTGTGTGTGTGTGAGCTTGGTGTGTGTGTGTGTGTGTGTGGTCAACTTTGCCCAGTAACTTAGAAGAATGAATGTTATACTGTTATTATCAATGCCATTTTGTTAGACTTTGTAAGTCTGTTTTTTTTTTAGTTCTTTAAAAAAAATGAGTCTATGCTACTAAGCACTATTATTTATCTGTGAGGAAAGATTGGAAATGTTGTTGGACTTTTGATCGTCCGTAATCGACAGATAAATATAAACTTTTCGTCAGTTTATCAATGGCGTTGCCTTTCCAGTTTAGTTCCCCCTGGTTTGCGTCCTAAATGGCACACTGTTTCCTACATAGGGCACTACATTTGACCTGGGCCCATAGGGCACTACATTTGACCTGGGCCCATAGGGCACTACATTTGACCTGGGCCCATAGGGCACTACATTTGACCTGGGCCCATAGGGCACTACATTTGACCTGGGCCCATAGGGCACTACATTTGACCTGGGCCCATAGGGCACTACATTTGACCTGGGCCCATAGGGCACTACATTTGACCTGGGCCCATAGGGCACTACATTTGACCTGGGCCCATAGGGCACTACATTTGACCTGGGCCCATAGGGCACTACATTTGACCTGGGCCCATAGGGCACTACATTTGACCTGGGCCCATAGGGCACTACATTTGACCTGGGCCCATAGGGCACTACATTTGACCTGGGCCCATAGGGCACTACATTTGACCTGGGCCCATAGGGCACTACATTGACCTGGGGCCCATAGGGCACTACATTTGTACTGGGCCCATAGGGCACTACATTTGACCTGGGCCCATAGGGCACTACATTTGTACTGGGCCCATAGGGCACTACATTTGTACTGGGCCCATAGGGCACTACATTTGACCTGGGCCCATAGGGCACTACATTTGTACTGGGCCCATAGGGCACTACATTTGTACTGGGCCCATAGGGCACTACATTTGACCTGGGCCCATAGGGCACTACATTTGACCTGGGCCCATAGGGCACTACATTTGACCTGGGCCCATAGGGCACTACATTTGACCTGGGCCCATAGGGCACTACATTTGACCTGGGCCCATAGGGCACTACATTTGACCTGGGCCCATAGGGCACTACATTTGACCTGGGCCCATAGGGCCACTACATTTGACCTGGGCCCATGACCTGGCCCATAGGGCAAATACATTTGACCTGGGCCATAGGGCACTACATTTGTACTGGGCCCATAGGGCACTACATTTGACCTGGGCCATAGGGCACTACATTTGTACTGGGCCCATAGGGCACTACATTGTACTGGGCCCATAGGGCACTACATTTGTACTGGGCCCATAGGGCACTACATTTGACCTGGGCCCATAGGGCACTACATTTGACCTGGGCCCATAGGGCACTACATTTGACCTGGGCCCATAGGGCACTACATTTGACCTGGGCCCATAGGGCACTACATTTGACTGGGCCCATAGGGCACTACATTTGACCTGGGCCCATAGGGCACTACATTTGACCTGGGCCCATAGGGCACTACATTTGACCTGGGCCCATAGGGCACTACATTTGACCTGGGCCCATAGGGCACTACATTTGACCTGGGCCCATAGGGCACTACATTTGACCTGGGCCCATAGGGCACTACATTGACCTGGCCCATAGGGCAGACCTGGGCCCATAGGGCACTACATTTGACCTGGGGCCCCATAGGGCACTACATTACTGGGCCCATAGGGCACTACATTACTGGGCCCATAGGGCACTACATTTGACCTGGGCCCATAGGGCACTACATTTGACCTGGGCCCATCATTACTGGGCCCATAGGGCACTACATTACTGGGCCCATAGGGCACTACATTTGACCTGGGCCCATAGGGCACTACATTTGACCTGGGCCCATAGGGCACTACATTTGACCTGGGCCCATAGGGCACTACATTTGACCTGGGCCCATGGTGCACTCTGTAGGGAATAGGGTGCCCTTCCCGACACCCCTCTGCTGTGTTTTGATCCGGGCTCTGATAGGGTCAAATGGAATAGTCACGTCATGTTTTTCATCATTCTGGAAGTCATCCATTGAAATTCTCTTTCAGTTGCTGCAGTGTTGTGAATGACAAGCTAAAGTGTTTCTGTACTGGTTGCCAACCTGAGAGGGATCAGGACTGTAGCAGATTATTTTACATTTACGTCATTTAGCAGACGCTCTTATCCAGAGCGACTTACAGTTAGTGAATACATTTTTAATTTTTTTTATACTGGCCCCCCGTGGGAATCGAACCCACAACCCTGGCGTTGCAAACGCCATGCTCTATCAACTGAGCTACATCCCTGCCGGCCATTCCCTCCCCTACCCTGGACGACGCTGGGCCAATTGTGCGCCGCCCCATGAGTCTCCCGGTCGCGGCCGGCTGCGACAGAGCCTGGATTCGAACCAGGATCTCTAGTGGCACAGTTAGCACTGCGATGCAGTGCCTTAGACCACTGCCCCACTCAGGAGGCCATTATGTCAACTTTAAAGCTGGGGTCATGTGTATATACTGTATTAAGACATGCACAGGTTCTCAGTTGATTCTTGTCAAGGGGAACAGAGGGTTAGGCCTGATGGTCATATTTCTTATGCATCCTGGTAGTGATGTTATGTCATTTAATGTCTTAAGGTAGAGGCCTAGTTACAATCTACTAGTTACTAGAGGCCTAGCTTTCATAGTGATTCCTAGAGATCGTACCCAGACAAGTTGACACTGTCCTTGCTTTACTGGATGTCATGTGGGTTTGAATGGGCGGCAGGTAGCTTAGTGGTTATGAGCGTTGTGCCAGTAACTGAAGAGGTCGCTGGTTCTAATCCCCGAGCCGACTAGGTGAAAAATCTGTTAATGTGCCCTTGAGCAAGGCACTTAACCCTAATTGCTCCTGTAAGTCGCTCTGGATAAGAGCGTCTGCTAAATGACAAAAAAATTAAACATTTACCGTCCAAAACCACTCCCCTTTTCCCGGGTTAAATAACTGCGAGATACCGATTTTTTTTTTAACAATTATTTTTATGAACAACATGGCCTGAAATGGAACTGTTAAGTTATGTGATGTCTAAATCCGTCTTCTCTACGGCCTCTGCATGATGAATCAACGCTCAGGGTGGAGACAGACAGCCCCTCTCAATATGGAGAGCAGTTCACAATACATATAGACCTATCATCTCACCATGGTAACAATACATGTAGACCTATCATCTCACCATGGTAACAATACATGTAGACCTATCATCTCACCATGGTAACAATACATGTAGACCTATCATCTCACCATGGTAACAATGCATGTAGACCTATCATCTCACCATGGTAACAATACATATAGACCTATCATCTCACCATGGTAACAATACATATAGACCTATCATCTCATGGTAACAATACATATAGACCTATCATCTCATGGTAACAATACATATAGACCTATCATCTCATGGTAACAATACATATAGACCTATCATCTCATGGTAACGTATGTTTTCTTGTGACAGGTAGGCCTACATTTGCTGCAGCCTAGCCTATGCTACTGTAATATAAAGACTGAATGCGTATCTAATTTAACCATCTCCATCTGGCTTTCGGGGGTCACCTTGTTTTTTAATTGTAAAGATGTATTTTTATTGCAGCTGCAGAGTTTTTAAATATCGTTGCTTTAAATCAGTGCACGCGCGAGCACTCTCCCGCTGTCTCTCTCTCTCTCTCTCTCTCTCTCTCTCTCTCTCGCCATCAACTCCATTCAAATTGCATCCAAAATAGATAATCCTGTTCTAGATTGATATACACTGCCTTCGGAAAGTATTCAGACCCCTTGACTTTTTCCACATTTTGTTACGTTACAGCCTTATTCTAAAATGGATTAAATTGTTTTTTTTTTCTCCACTCGTCAATCTACACACAATACCCCACAATAATGACTAAGCAAAAACAGTTTTTTTGAAATGTTTGCTTTCCCAAATTCGCTAGCCTATACTGGTAACTTTGTAGGCTGCATGTGCTGCACCAGAATCGCATGTTCTCTTCTAATAATAATAATAATAATAATAATATGCCATTTAGCAGACGCTTTTATCCAAAGCGACTTACAGTCATGCGTGCATACATTTACTTCTGTTATCATGGTTAGAACGATGTGCGTAATTCCAGTCCATATAATACAGTATAATACAATACAGTACAGTAATACAGTTCACACTCAAACAGATTAGCCTACTGGAGCTAGTTTCATTTAGTTACCCAATAGAGCATATAGCTAGCTACATCTATGGGCTTTATATAGCTAGCTACATCTATGGGCTTTTATATAGCTAGCTACATATATGGGCTTTTATATATCTAGCTACATCTATGGGCTTTATATAGCTAGCTACATCGGGCTTTATATAGCTAGCTACATCTATGGGCTTTTATATAGCTAGCTACATCTATGGGCTTTTATATAGCTAGCTACATATATGGGCTTTTATATAGCTAGCTACATCTATGGGCTTTTATATAGCTAGCTACATCTATGGGCTTTTATATAGCTAGCTACATCTATGGGCTTTTATATAGCTAGCTACATCTATGGGCTTTTATATAGCTAGCTACATCTATGGGCTTTTATATATAGCTAGCTACATCTATGGGCTTTTATATATAGCTAGCTACATCTATGGGCTTTTATATAGCTAGCTACATCTATGGGCTTTTATATAGCTAGCTACATCTATGGGCTTTTATATAGCTAGCTACATCTATGGGCTTTTATATAGCTAGCTACATCTATGGGCTTTTATATAGCTAGCTACATCTATGGGCTTTTATATAGCTAGCTACATCTATGGGCTTTTATATAGCTAGCTACATCTATGGGCTTTTATATAGCTAGCTACATCTATGGGCTTTTAT